AAAATGATGAATAATGATATGAAGTTCACTAATTTATTTTTATTGTCATGTTTACAACTCAGAACATTATATTCTCAAGTAAATGCATTTAGCACTTATTGTGTGATGGATACAAATCACTTCATGATTAAATACAAAACTGTAATTTCAATATAAAAAAATCAACAGAAATAAAACAATGTTTTATTTATGTTGATTAAAATCAAGTAATTTCAGCTGGATAAAATTTATGTGAGAGATTTACATGGTTCGATCGAAACTTAGAACTGATGTACCTGAATACAAACATTTTTTTGTTTGTGTAATTTTATTATTCTTTTAATTTTATGACAAAATTTTATATTTGTTCTTAGTTTTACTTAGATAGAATCATATTTAAATATACATCATTTACAACATTTAATTTTAAATAAATTGCAGTTTTTTTATTAACAATGAAGTGATTTTAATCCATCACGCAATATGTTTCAAATGCATTTATTTGAAAATATAACATTCTGAGTTGTAAATATGACAACCAAAAATAAAAAAAGTGCACTTTATATCATTATTAATGATTTTTTACAATCTTGAGGTCAGCAATTATGGCATCACTTCATTATATACAACTTAAAATGACTTGGATTTTGTGATTTTCGTGTTGATCTTTTAGTGGAGGATTGACTGAAGATGCAATTCGTATATCCGTAAAAAATAATCGTAGGTATTGTACAGAATATCAAACATCCTTCTCACGTCTTTTAATTTTATTCCTCAATATCTAAATTTCCACAATTTTATTAGACTTTTGGAATAGTAATTTTTTTGATTTCCAACCATCCTATAAACTTGTGGAAACGCGAACATATATACATCTCTAATGCATGAATTTCACGGATAAAATAAAATCTAAATACACACACATTTTTCATATTTAACCAAACAAAAAATTTAATATTTCATAATCTACATCATAAATATATTAATTTTTTTATCACAATCAGAATGATTAATCGTAGGTAATTATCACTCTATACATTATTCCATAATATTGTTAGATTAAATTTTATTTTTTTTATTAATAAGAAATTAAATTTATAAATATAATCATATTTTTATTTCTTTCCATAACGTTATGAATGAATTTTAGATAATTATGTTTGTAAATTATAGAATTTAAACATGCATTGTAGATCTCATGTAAATGAAATATTCCATCTTTGTGGATTTGATTAAATAGAAAATTGTGATTTCTATATATAATTTTATGAGTTTTATATCATTTTTGTATATTTTTTTGTTCTATTTTTTATATATAGATTTTAAGTAAAAGTAAAATTTGGAATTCATAGGCTTTGAAAAAGCTTATGTTTTTTACTGTGTTGAAGGAATTTAAACTTAATCTTAATTGTATTTCATGTTATACATTTTAAAATACAATTTGATCTTTTGTTTAATGTCATGAAATTTAATATTTTTTTAAACAATCATTACACTGAGATAAATTTATATTTTAATTATAATAATTGAAGCTATTAAAATATTCAAGAAAAACAAACATTGTTATTTTTTTCTATCAGCTATGTGAATAAAATGTTGAATAATGAAACAATATCGTAAATACTTTGTTGTTTAAATTGTGTGAATAATATATTAATAACAAAATTGTTACATGTATATCAATATGAAATATACACTATGATGGATGATAAAGACTTGTAATATGTTGATAGCCCTTGCTTATTGATAAGAAATTTTTGACAATTACAATGACTAAAAGTTTTGTGACTGGCATAAACACATTCAAACTACAAGACTTGGTACAAAACCAATATAGAGTCGATACCTTCAACAAAATTTCGACTTAGACATATTTGTGTACATCAAAACTCACGAAAATGTAAGCTCATTGAAGACTTTTACTCCTTGTGTTGTTATATTAACCTAAAAAACACAACAATGATGGTAGTGAGAACCAAAAAATCAAAAATATTTGGAGAGCTATATTGTGTTTGAAATAGATAGATAAATGCAAATTTATATTTGCCTTGATATTCATTATTGTAACTGATGCATGTGGATGCATGTTTTTTAAAATCATTAGAAACAAATAGTGATATAACTTGTCTATTCTTATGTCTTCACAAAATCACGAATATTCATATCAAAGTCATACATTTTGTCATTTATAGTTACAATCATATTTATTTTTCATTTAGAGTATTTAGTTACATTCACAGTAATTGAAGTAAAAAACGCATGAGTTATATGAAAATGTTATAGTGTATTATGCGATGCAATAATTCTATTATATTTATGTGAAAATTAATCATATATAAGCATCTAAATAAAAAATATCAAAACATTCATTTATTATTATTTTTTGTTTCATAGTTATCATTATTATAATTAACGTGTATAAACGTATAGCTAACATGATGTTGTTAGTTTTTTTAAATAAGTATTTTATTTATTTATTATTGCAACATTTGTTATTAACAATTTTGATCTGATTGTAATTCAAACACAAATATTTTGATAAGCGTTAGTTTTAAGATATATATATATATATATATATATATGCATTTGTTAAATTTGAAAAAATATTTATTACGATTTTGTAATTTGTAACAATTATGATCATGTATGGGTTGATATTTTCAATCTTTAACTCTGCAATTTTGAATAATGGCATAACGTTTAAGATTGACAAAAAATATTATCTGAAATACATGATAGCTACCAATTTGTATCTTGTTTGTAAAGAATAGTTTTTTAATATATATATATATATATATATAAGAATAAATTTTCATTAAGATAAAATGTATACAAGATGAAATAATTTTTATACTATTTACTTCAATAAAATGTACATTCAGAATATCTTGATTTAGTTATAAATTCATGTGATTTGATTTGAATGTTTTATATTATAACAATTTGTTTATGTTTAAATTTACATTGCTGTGTATGGATTTATTATATGTAATTGATTAGCATGCCTTAATGTGAATTTAAATTGATCATATTAAAATGTTTGAAGTCTTCTTTACATGCTTGAAAAGGTTGAGAACAAAGTCAGTTTTAACCTCATATAACAACAAGTGTACAAATTATTGTAATATATACATGAGGCAGGAGAAAAGAGTCATAACTTTCAAAAATATATCATTTCCATGTAGAGGAACTTACATACACGAAGAAGAAGAAGAAATAAATGAATTATAGTCATGAAATCGATGAATAGAGCGGAAGAAATTATGAAGATGATTTTAGAACCGTGGATTTCATGACATGCTAGAGGTTTCGTGCCAGTTATGGATTTTTTAATGATAGATATTCATTAAAGTATAACTTTTGTGTAAAACTCATTAGTATAAATTTATATGAAGTCATCATGTTGTCATACACAGGAAATTCTCATGATAGTTGAAATATGTAGAAGTGCATAGAATGCTATGAGATCCACGGTCATCAAAGAGCTTGTGTTACTAGGGAATTTTTATTTTTTTATGCACGAAACGATGAGAAACGAATTCTTGATACAAAAGTGAATCATAAACTAGAGATCATTTTCCTCCCATGCACTTTGCAAATGTATCATACTTCTATTGACTTTTTTATTTCAGTTTTGTTTTCCCTCCTGTTGTTCTGTCAATGTTATGATTAATCCAGGAGATGACAATTTGTTGTCGTAAGTAGCCTGGATATGTTATGTTATATGCCACAGAGTTATTTCGCTCAAAGAATCCAAATGACAAGGTCTCGTGTTATTTTATAACTCAGCACGAAACAAAAGTGGAATTGTAGAACAATGTATATTCTGATAGTGGGACTTTTCGTTTGCAAGGCTGATGCATTTACAGTTATTCAGCAAGTTTTCCAGATTCTTCTGTTGGCTTATTTTGTCCAAATAGCTGGTTTTAAATTTAGTAGACGACGAAAGGTCAATGGGTTCATATCTTGCACACAAGAGATTGATCTTTACTATCGACAGATGTGCACACAATCGAATACATCGTTAACAGGGATTTTGAAGAGCAACAGACAATATTTTGCAATTTTCCACTCCTAATAGAATCTCAAATTCGATTGTGGAAAAACTAGAAACTAAAAAAGTATATTAAGGTGAGGTGAGTCCTGAATCACAATCACTGGGAAAGGTGCAGCAGATCAATGGTGTAAATCAACATGCGAACATCGCATGATCTGAACTGGATGTGGAGACATTGCGGCCAACAAAATGGAAAGGGAACATTCGAATGCCATCGACCTCGCCTCTGGCTTGCGGGAAAAATATATATTTATTTAATCTAAGAAAAGTCGTCGAGACGGAGATGGGAAAAAGTGCATATATGGCTTTAGCAAAGCGAGGAGAAAAATAGCCCAAAATTGGTGCCACGCAGGTCAGTCTTAGGGCACTCGAGGGCTCGAAGCTCGTCGTCGGAGGGATGCCCTAAGAGTCAACCACGCGGTTACCCTATTCAATGAGGGACGTGGGCCACGAATAGATTCGATTCCAATCGCAGCCTCTCGATGGCAGAATCTGACGGTGCGGCCGCAGCCGCCGAGCTGCCAGCTGGTCGTCGCTGCTGGCGCGCGGTCCGTCGAGAGCCGGAGCGTCCGTCCGGCGCATGGGCCGACGGAAGGTAGAGCGTCCGCACGCTCCGTTCCGTTCGGGAGAGAGATCAGCGCGATGATGGACGCGAATCGACGAGCGCGGCATGTTACGGACGGATATGCGGGAGCATCTGGCGGCAGGCGGACGGTGGCGACGGCGGTCGGCGGACGGGAGTGGGGAAATGTTCGAGAAACGGCTGGTAGTAGGTCAAAACTCTGGGCACTCCGTCGTCGGTCGCGCAGCAAGCAACTCGGCCCCCTCGCCTCGCTCGTTCGCTTCGCGGCGCAGCTGCTCTGCCTACAAACTTGCCTCCTTCTCTCCTTACGAGTCTCTTCTTCGAAACCGCCGCGGAAGATCGTCATCGAGCCTTCTTCTCGGTGAGTGATTGAGTGAGTGGTTGGTTGATTGATTTAGCGAGCGAGCGATCGCCTCCCACCGCAATTTATTGTTTTCGATTCTCGTCTCGATCCGTCGCTTGTCGTGTGCTCTCGCTTGTTTTCGCTTGTTGCCCAGTGTCTAAGAGTGGGTGGTGAGGGTCTCAGAGTGCTAAGCTGTGCAGCAGGTCTGTGTGCACAGGTTTGTCAATTTTCGTCAGTTCTATCGTGTGACTAGCGTTAGGATTGTTCCGCTTTTAAGAGAGGGTTTAGGTCATGTTCGCTAGATTTGCAATGTTTACGGGGTGAAATCGGGATTATCGCTGTCATGCTGCCTGTCTGGCTCCGCTAAGTGGCTGCTTTCTGCCTGATCGTTTTTAAATCGTGGAGATTTATGAAAGGAAGTTGACTGTGACGGCGGGAGCTTCATCTGATTGAGTTGTTTAGCGAGAAGGGGCTGCCGGCAGTGTTGATTAGTCCTTGTGATAACCGTGGCGTAGTTGGAATTTGCGCATTGTCTGACGAGGCGTGTCTGTGTGTTCAGCTGTCGAATTTCGAAGCCATTTCCACCATGGATGTCACTCCTGCAGCAGCGATGGAGGAGAACGTGGAGACGTTCGCCTTCCAGGCCGAGATCAACCAGCTGTTGAGTTTGATCATTAACACGTTTTACAGCAATAAGGAGATTTTTCTCCGTGAGTTGATCAGTAATGCCTCCGATGCCCTCGACAAGATTCGTTTCCAGAGTTTGACCGATAAGAGCAAGTTGGATGGACAGCCCGAGCTTTTTATCCACATTGTTCCGGACAAGGCCAACAACACCTTGAGCATCATTGATAGTGGAATCGGAATGACCAAGTCGGACATGGTCAACAACTTGGGAACCATCGCTAGATCCGGAACCAAGGAGTTTATGGAGGCTTTGGCCGCCGGAGCAGATGTGAGCATGATCGGACAGTTCGGAGTGGGATTTTACTCTGCATACCTGGTCGCAGAAAGAGTCGTTGTTACATCTAAGCACAACGATGACGAGCAGTACGTATGGGAATCTCAGGCCGGTGGATCCTTCACCGTCACGCGTGACACTTCAGGCGAGGCTCTTGGACGTGGAACCAAGATCACGCTGCACATGAAAGAGGATCAGCAGGAGTACTTGGAAGAGAGGAGATTGAAGGACTTGATCAAGAAGTACTCTGAGTTCATTGGGTACCCCATCTCCCTGTGGGTGGAGAAGACTGTGGAGAAGGAAGTATCTGACGACGAGGAGGAAGAAGAGAAGGACGAGAAGGAGAAGATCGAGGACGTAGAGGAAGATAAGGAGAGGAAGACGAAGAAGGTGAAGGAGGTGTTCCACGAGTGGAATCTGGTTAACAGCCAGAAGCCCATTTGGATGAGAAAGCCGGAAGATATCTCCAAGGACGAGTATGCTGCATTCTACAAGAGTTTGACCAACGACTGGGAGGAGCACCTCGCCGTGAAGCACTTCTCTGTGGAGGGACAGTTGGAGTTCAGGGCTGTCATTTTCGTGCCCAAGCGTGCACCCTTCGATCTCTCCGACACGAAGAAGAAAAACAACAATATCAAGCTCTACGTGAGACGCGTTTTCATTATGGATAACTGTGAGGAGTTGGTTCCTGAGTACCTGAGCTTCGTGAAAGGAGTGGTCGATTCCGAGGATCTACCCCTGAACATTTCACGTGAGACCCTTCAACAAAACAAGATTCTGAAGGTTATCAGGAAGAACTTGGTGAAGAAGTGCATCGAGATGTTCACTGAGATTTCAGAGAACAAGGAGGAATACGACAAGTTCTACGAGGCTTTCTCAAAGAACTTGAAGCTCGGGATTCACGAAGACGCCCAGAACAGGGCGAAGTTGGCTGATCTGTTGAGGTACCACTCGACCAAGAGTGGTAGTGAGATGACCACATTGAAGGACTACGTGACGAGAATGAAGGAAGGCCAAAAGGAAATTTACTACATCACCGGAGAAAGCAAGAAGGCCGTGGAGAATTCTCCATTCCTTGAGACTCTGAAGAAGAAGGGGTACGAAGTTTTGTTCATGGTTGACGCTATCGATGAGTACGCCGTCGGACAGTTGAAGGAGTACGACGGCCACAAGCTCGTCTCCGCAACAAAGGAGGGCCTGAAGTTGGACGAATCTGAAGCTGAGAAGAAGGACAAGGAGGAGAAGAAGGCCGCCTTCGACAACCTCTGCAAGGTTATGAAGGACATCCTCGGCGAAAAGGTCGAGAAGGTCGTCGTCTCCGACCGCATTGTGGATTCCCCATGCTGCCTGGTAACCGGTGAGTACGGATGGACTGCCAACATGGAGCGCATCATGAAGGCTCAAGCCCTGCGCGACAGCAGCATGTCCAGCTACATGTCGAGTAAAAAGATCATGGAAATCAACCCGGAGAACGGCATCATGGACGAGTTGAGGAAGAGAGCCGATGTCGACAAGAGCGACAAGTCCGTGAAGGACCTTGTTCTTCTGCTCTTCGAAACCGCCCTCATCACTTCTGGCTTCAGTCTCGAGGACCCGAACACATTCGCAACTCGCATCCACAGGATGTTGAAGCTCGGACTGAGCATCGACGAGGAAGCCGTTCCAGACGTGGATGCCGACATGCCAGCCTTGGAGGCCGAGGCTGATGCTGAAGGAAGCAAGATGGAGGAGGTCGATTAATTTGTCTAAGGATTTCTGTTCATCGGCATGCCTGATCTCTGAAGCGGCAGCCGTCAGAAGTTTTTGTAAGAATTTAGTGTTTATCAAGTTTCGCAGTCGGTAATTTTGTCCCTTACCTGGAGTTTTGAGTTACATTGGTCCTCACAGGCTGATCGCCCCGTCCGTGATTCCCAGCTCTTGGACGCTTGTTTAGATTCCTGTGTCATGAGGCGGGGACGAGTTACGCCCTGCGACGGACTTTTTAACTTTTTACCGAGTGGCGGCGGCCATAGACTGTAGTGGACTTCCTTGGAGAGGTCGGAGTGCGAAGCTACCGTTTCTTCGCTGGGCATGCTCCCGAGTTTGGATAGGTCCGTCGATCCTGCCCATGTAACCCTTTGGTCTCCGTCGTGTGATACCTGACCAGGGCTCGTTATGGTAAGGAATCGATGTGGTCAGTCTGGTAGGAAGGGAAGAATCTTCTTCCCAAGAGCAGTAGTAGTAAAGGTCAGGGCTGAGCCACTGAGAGGCAGAACCCCGCAAATCAGTGTACATACTTTCAAAGAGCTGAGCTGATCGTCAGTTGCCTCGATTAAAAAGGTTTCGAAGTCCTTCGTTTTGCCAACCACGGCGCTTGGCTCGGAACTCATACTGCTAGCGAACAATTACTGTTCAACGGTGGGAATCACCTTATTCTTATGATGGGTGTGTGTTCGAAGTGGAAGTCATGTGAAAATTTTAAAACCGTATTGCATATTCCGATTGGAACGTGTCGAATGGATTGGTGAGAATTCTCTGCCGCAGGGGAGAATCTACCCGAGTGTAGATTGTCTACGCGATGAAAATCTGAAATTGTTGTCTTCCTAAATGCCGAATTTTGAACGATAGTTTTCACTAATAAAACCTAGACCTGATTTGAATCGACCTAAACGTCGTAAGATAGACTGCACATCTGACATGGTTGCGCCAGACTCAATAACTCGTTGTAAACAATCTTAGTGATTAAGTCGAAGGCAAACGAAAAATTTGCATGAAATAGAAAAAACCACCCATAATATATAAACAGCGAAAATGGAGAGAGGAAAAAACGTCAGCCTGCAAAATTAGCGGACATGTCGCATTCCGACCCTGAAAGGGAATATGTAGCACAATTGCCGTAAAACGGTGGGAAGATCGTGCTGGACGCTACAATTGAACAGTAACAAGTCAATCAAAATCAAGGTCACGTCTTCGATAATCAATGTCTGCTTGAACTGTCGCCAATCAGACAAGTACAAATAGCAAATTTGACCAGAAGAGAATACTGTTGAAGCAAAACGTTGTTACAATCATAGCGAATTAATCAATTGACATGCAAAAATTTACTAACTAATGAAGCGAGAGAGAAACAATAACAGCAAGGGTAGGGGACTCTTTTCACGACTACTTTGTAGCGGAGTATTTCAAAACCGAGTATATAACTGACTTTAACCAGCGGAACTAGCGGAACGATGCATGGATAGCAACACAAGGTTTAAATATATTGAAGTGCAAAGAAAGAAAGAATGGACCATCCTTGCACTTTAGTTACTAAAATACATGTGCAAAGTTTCTGCATACGGGAAATTTTACAACAGAAGAGGCTAACGAATTGCAGTGACATTGGTCAGGTCGGCTGGCCTTTTATCAAACAAAGAGGATCCAACTGAGTTGTTTGTTACTTCTACGTCCCTCCAGTGGGTTACAGTAAGTTCAAGACTTCCAGAAGCTAGTAGAAGGGACTTTTCAACCTACTCGATTCTAGATAATCTTCTGATCTTTTGTACCGATTTCTCTTAGCAGAACTGCAGATTAACTATACACGAGAACTCCAATACACCGCACACTTTAAGTGGGAAGATGTAAACCAGTTTAACAAGAAATATTGTGAACAACCATGATCGAGAAAAGATCTTATTCGTCTCAATGACTTTTAAGAACTGGAAAAAGGAAACTTGAAAATGCAGGAGACATGGCGTAGAACATGATGAAAACATTGAATTAACATAAAGAGAAACAGGATGAGAAAAACATGGGAATATGAATAACAAAGACTTATCCTCTATCAGCAGGCGAAAAAGTTGTTCCTTTGAAAGTTCTTTTCAACTAGTTAGCTGCCTCTTTGCATCAGCATTTGCGAGAGCGTTAATGTCATTATGATATGTATATCTCCATTCATTTGCAGTCATCATTACTATGTAAAAGTCGTTTCCACTAGCGCCGTAAATCAATGGCATTTGTCTTAAATGTTTGAATGCTAGGTATCCTGATTTCAAATAAAAAATGTCTGTTCAATATTTAACAAGTTCGGTGCTCGATGGGCGGTTCATGAGTACCTGCTTAGACTGACTAGTATAAATTCGATTACATTTATCGTGGAGTCATATTGGAGGTTTATGTACTTGTGGGAGGATCTCAACATCATAATTCTTATTAAATAAGTAATCTCCTTCAGTATAATATTGTAACATACTACTTAATGCACCCATTCCTTGAACCTACATAAAAAATTTGAAGACAGGTCTGAGCGAGAGGGTCTTAGATAGACAGTACGTCTCTTGGCCCAAGTGACTAAAACTGGTCTAAGTGACACTATGAGGCGAAGAGTCAAGTGAACTACTGGCTATGAAAATATCTTCAATTTGTGAAGAGAATTTCCCACCATCAAACAAGGTTAGTGTATCCGATGTAATATGGAAAGGCTTGTGAAGCCGACAGCGTTGATATAACTGTGTTGATATATGTGTAATAGCTTACTAAGCTTGCTGAAAGCTACTTATAACCACAACCATCTCCGAGGTCCCGATATCATCTATTTAGAAAATGTTTTTTCCATGTTAGAGAGCTTAGACTATCCCTTTTTTTAGCAAAGAATACAACGCGTTGGGGTTTTCGGACCCTTTTTTTCGATTGACTTAGATTAAATGAGTATAGAATTCACCGACGATCGTCAAACCGCGTTCTAATGTTAGACACACAATTATATAAAGACGATTATAAGGTTGTAATACATGAACTCCACTAGGGTATTGGAGGCCACTAAGCGATTTTTGGACTCATGGCGTAGTGCACATACAGCCTTTGACAGATTTCGATAACAACAAAGAAGAAAGTACTAGTATAGAGCAAAAAGGTTTTGGAAGATCTAGCAGTACATAGATTGAACCAAAGAGATAAATTGTGGCTAGACCCCACTCACATCAAATTGGGCTTAATCCAGAAAGGGATTAAATTTGACATATTAGATGACTGTTTCACTAGGAAATGCAACTAGTGATCTACGTAAAAAAAAGATGCTGACTAATGTAGAATGTACAATAAGTTGAAGGGGTTGATATTCCATGCATATTATCGTTGAAATTCACTTTCCACACCACGAATGTGTAAAATTGAGAATCCATAAAAACCAAAATTATAATAAATAAAAGACCGACTCTCTATATCCATAACTTTGAATACACATTCTGACCTCGTGCACTCACAATCACTACTTTATGAGTCGGATATTGTTGATGCTAAAGCGCAAGGTTGTAATTGTAATTTCTTCATTCTACGGGGCAATCCCGTATTCTCTGTATCCACATGGACCTTTCTTTTCCTTTCGACGAGGATGCATGAGATGTTGGGATGCACACGACGACAGGTTTCGGAGGAAGCAGAGGGAACGAGTAGAGATCAGGCTGCGCAACATCGAAACACATGCGCCTCCGGAATATGCGCCAGAATGTTGGAATGGAGACTACGGCCGCACCCAATATCAGGTGCCAGTCACTTTCGCGAAGAAGCAAACATCCACTAAACTAGCGTCCTTGCACCTGCCACCCGAATTCTCGACCAAAAACCGATCATTCCTTCATAATGGAAAAAGTGACACCACCGATCATTCCGTCAGACAGAGTGCGCTTCCATTTGGGCTCGACTAACTCACGACAAAGTGTTATGATTGATCGGTCCTCGGCTCCATCGAACTTAGGACACCGATAATACCCGCCAATCAAGCACTGTTGACATTTCTCCTCCACCTTCCGTATAATCCACGTGCTTAGTTCCAAATGTTGGGCACAATCGGCTCCTGGACACCTTTTGCGTATCCGATCCGGGGGCTCAATCAGAGCGTGCCCTAATTCCTCACCGCGCGCGTACTTTGGCGGAGCCCTCACACCGCGGCCATAATTGGTAAGCGCTGCCGATAATTCAAACCCTCTTCATTCGTCCTCCTGACAGCTGGACCGACACGCTCACCTACAATAGGGACAGCTCCACTGCCAGACAGACAGACTCAGTGAGAGCAGGGAGCAGGGCCGAGCTGTACACAGGCTACTCCCTCGATTACCGGCAGTCCTCGGTCCTCGGCTACCGCTCACCGAACTGCGCTGCTGAGGTGCTGCTGAGGGCTACGACCAGTGGCTCTCTCGCGTCTGTCTCATCTGAGCAGAAGAGACAGGGAACCGGAATCTTGTTGGAAGTAGATCCGCAAAGGCGGTACTCTCCGTTCGTACAGCACTTCGTCCGGCGGAGCGTGAGATCGGAGGAGCGGATGCCGTTCCACGTGAGCTACGGAGATCACGTGCTTCTGTTTCGAATTCCGGATTTATGCGGGAGTTTACGCATCCAACGCTCGGATTATAGCGTCCGTAATTCCCCTGGATCTGGATGTCGAGGGCTGGACGAGGCAGTTCTTGCATCGCTCGATTGGCATCGGACTCTCGGGCCCGTGCCACGTATGCATTCCGTGTTGCTGCTTCGCTGGCCGAGAACGCCAGAGCGTAGTTCGTACCGTAGCCGGTACGAACTCTGCCACGGCGTTGCGGTTGGGTTCGGACCACGCTGTCCGAATTTCGTGTCGTCATGACGAAAGCGGTTGAATTGCATAAGTGAAGGGAAATATATGCGTCGTGGAGGAAAAGAAAAGGAAATCCTGCAGGGCCCTAAAACTTTAATCTGGATGTATGAGAAAAAACATTGCAACTAGGCCTAATCAAGATCCGTCAAAAGCTGCAAAGTGGTCCGAAGCTGGAAGGAAAAAACCATAATAATTTCCCATATGCAAATACGTGGCTAGACACATTGCATACTAGATACATATACTGGGTATCCAGAATAGTATTTTTCTCGTTCCTCTCGTAATGCATGTCACGTAGTTGTGAAAAAATCACGTATATTTAAATTTAAAGATGGTTGGATAAGTATACACAAGTCATAAAAAATATATTATACATATGGAATAAATTTGCATGTTGTTTCTGACATACTCTACTCGGTCCAAGAGATGTTCAAATACACGTACAGCAGATGCGGATACATGGTAACCTAAATGATGCAAAATATACCACGTTTACAGTTTGTATCAGTGATACACACTATGAATGTTAAAAGGTGGGAGCAGTGCTAAAGTAAAAAATATGATTTTTAGAAGGTTGAACCAGCTTGCAGCTATATGGGAGATATTGCATGTACGTCATACAATTATGATTCATTTTTCGTACACGTCAATCATTTAGATCAAATTTATCAATATCCATACCCAGGTTTACTGAGCTTGATATTTGTTACTCAAAGATAGAAACTAAATCTTGTAGATATAGGTTATACCTAATCTCAAAGAAATATTTGTGACAAATGTCCAATAAGTATGATTGTAAACTATATCAAGTGAAGCACACAAAAAGGTTTTAAACCAAGAGAAGCATTTTAACTAGATTATTGTATTGACTATTTAGTTCCTCTATTATTCA